CACTCGGGATATAAGTGATTTATCAGACTAGCACATATCAGAGACCGTGATACCTGCAGTTGGCAGGCGTGTGGGGGGAACAGGTGCGTTCGTAAACTGTTGGAAAGATTATAAACCAGAGCTTGACCTTGCAGGACAACAGTCTGGCTGTCTATCCAAACTTCCAAGTCACCTGGCCACCCAGCGAGGAGCCACGCTTGAGTGCAACACATCGTCACTCTGCCGGGAGGAACTGTGAAGTGACCCATCTCCTCTGTCTCAGTTTCTTCCTTTCCAACTTTATTCTCCATATTACTAGTAGGATTTTTTTTTTATCCTCACCTGAGGACATTTTTCCATTTTTTGTTCAGATAGAGTGGGAGGGAGAGAGAGGGAAAGGGAGAGAAAGAGAAACATCGACGTGAAAGGGACACATCGAGTGGCTGCCACCTGCACAACCGACCAGGGCCGGGGACAAACTGCAACCGAGGTACGCGCCCTTAGCGGGAACCGAACCCGGGTCTCTCTGGACCTCAGGCCGACGCTCTAACCGCTGAGCCAAACTGGCCAGGGCACTGGTAGGATTTTTAAAGTTGTTTTTATTATATAAGTTCTGATGTGCTTGAAGTGTTAGAGCAGAATTGTCATCTTCCACGTGCCTATCATCCAGTCTCAACACTTACCAGTGTTTTACCATTCTGCCATCTCTGCTGCAGCCTCTTCCCTCCTTTCTGTTGAAGTATTTCAAACACGTGATCAGTTCGGTTCTCTGTATAAAACAGGATAGCTATTCAATCCTTTCCCTGCAGGGTAGAGCCTGGGGGACTGAAGGTCTGCGTCCCTCAAATTCGCGTATTGAAGCCCGTACTGGAAGGCGGCCACTGCAAGCCAGGAGGAGCACTCGCACGTGAACCGGACCGGCCAGTACCTTGACCTTGGGCTTTCTGGCCTCCAGACACGTGAGACGATACATTTGTTGGTTAAGCCATTCACTGTGGTATTAAAACATAAATTTTTTTCTTAATTGGTTTTAGAGAGAGAGAAGGGGAGAGAGAGGTGGAAACATTGATGAGAGAGAACATTGGTTGGCCGCCTCCTGCATGCCCCCCATTGGGAATTTGACCCACAACCTGGGCATGTGCCCTGACACTCAACCACTGAGCCACCGGCTGGGCTCACTGTGGTACTTAGACATGGCAGCTGGGGCTGACTCACACAGAGCCCACGCCTCATGATTCAGCCCCCATTACTCATTCAGTCTAAGTGTGTCCTCTCTCAAATGGAGCCTCCAGCAATGCTGAAGGACTTAGTTTCCTGAAAACCAACTGGTGTCTCAGCATCCAGGCCTTTGCATATACCCGTCCTGAGTCTTTGAAGACCCTCCAGGCTCCCTCCCCAAATCCACTGGGCACCTGGTGAATTCCTGGTGCTTTCAATGTCTGGGTGAGGCATCACGTCCCACCCAGCCTCCTCCGATGAATACCTCCTTCACCTCTTCCGCAGTCAGCCCATTCGGTGATGACCCACCGTCACTGGACACTGCTCGTTACCTTGAGGTGCTCTTCACTTGCCTCCCCCTTCCTTGGGAGAGACTGTCTTTATGGTCTCTGAACCCACAGCCCCAGCCTGGTCTTGGCACTTAGGAGGCATTTATAGTCATGTTGTTTACAGGCCCATAAGACTGAAACAGCACTTTAGCTGCTGGTGTTTTATGTCCTGGACTTCAGATCCCTTCTAGAACAAGGGCAAGAGGAGGGAAAAGGGACCGAGGGTCGGGGAGCAGAGGTAGAAGAAACTGGGGGGCTGGGCACCTAGAACATTCCACGTATTTAGTCTTCTCTCTGAGCAGCCTCTTATTCAATTCAGTGAACTGCAGCCCCTCGGAGAAACCCTGCTCTCTGCCTCAATGTAAGGCCCACATATAAGAATGATTTTAACATTTTTTTTTTTTAATTCTCACACGAGGACATTTTTCCATTTCTTGTTCAGATAGAGTGGAAAGGATAGAGAGGAAGAGAGAGAGAGAAACATCGACGTGAAAGGGACACATGGAGTGGCTGCCAGCTGCACGACTCAACCAGGGCCGGGGACAAACTGCAACTGAGGTACGTGCCCTTAGCGGGAACTGAGCCCGGGTCTCTCTGGACCGCAGGCTGACGCTCTAACTGCTGAGCCAAACTGGCTAGGGCTGCTTTTAATATTTTTAAAGGGTTAAAAAAAAAAGTCTGTGCAACACTGACTGTGTTAGCGGCAAAGCCTAAAATATTTACTATCTGGCCCCTCACAAAAAGTTTGCCACTCCCTGCTTTCACAGGACAGATGGATTTTGCAGCATTTACATCTGCAGCCTCCTGTAGGGTGAGTAAGGTCTGTGCTGGTGGTGAGCTCATCTCACAGACCTCGAACTTCTTCCTTGCGCCAGGCGTGGGGCCAGGTCAGACGGGGCTGGGCGGTGAGCTGCTAAGCACACCCTGGGTTCTGAGTGCTAGAGCCAGGCAGGAGGACAGGAATTATTAAAATACAAAGCACATGCCCGGAAGCAGAATCAGACACCGCACCCCCCCCCCCCCCCCCCCGCCCAAGTCATCTGCTAATTTCCAGTTGTTAACCACCTGCCAGTAAACATCAGGGCAAGAATCCGTAATAAGCAAGGACTGGACTTGTAATTTACACACCACCTCATCCAGTCCACAGGGACACAGGTATAAGAGAATAAATGTCTAGAAAGATGCCAGAGTGCAGGTGACAGGAAACATATAAAAGATGAAATAATTGCCTACCTTGTTGAACTCAAAACTATTAAACTGGTTTTAAACATCTCGCAGAAATGAAAGTAAGACAAATGTTCACAAATCACGTGATCCATCAGATCCATTTTTGGAAATCCATCTTCCGGAGACAACACCGAACACAGAACAAGCTGCATTTACACTGCGGCTCCTGGCAGCACTCCTCAGACGAGAACATGGGAAACAACAGATCCCCAGCCGCCTTTGGCGCGCGGTCATCGTGTTGCCACCAGATGGGACATGGAGGAGTCATTAGCGCCACTGGGTCTAAAACACAGACCTGCCAGGCGCTGCCTATTGTTGCTTTTCAAGCCCTTTCAGTGGGTGGAGGAGAGAGGACCAAAGTCCCAGGAAGACTAAAAGTCAGCCCCGCAGGACTGGTTTCCAAGGGAAAACGTCACGCAAGATTCATTCTCATTTTTAAAAAATGTTTTTTTAATCCTTACCTGAGGACGTTTTTGCATTTATCTTCAGATAGAGTGGGAGGGAGAGAGGAAGTAAGAGGGAGAGAAACATTGATGTGAGAAAGACACATTGACAGGTTGCCACCGGCACACCCCAGCCCAGGACCGGGGACAAACCACAACCGAGGTACGTGCCCTTAGTGGGAACCGAACCTGGGACTCTCTGGTCTGTGGGCGAACGCTCTAACTGCTGAGCCAAACGGCCAGGGCCATACTCATTCTTATATAGACTTCACAGTCTTGGTATTAACAGTCCAAGTAAACACACTCCATGGTTTCATATTCTATTTCCCCCACCACCCCGTGCACCCCTGCACGTTATAGGGGTTCCGTGGGCTGCAGTTTGACAAGCAGGCTATTCAACAAACAAACCCCCCCCAGCAGGATAGAAAATTGTATGTATGTTATATATAACTACATCGAACTAAAACCACCACCACAGGGGAACACGTAAAATGTTCATAATGGCTGGGTTAGCACAGTGGATTTTAGGTAATCTTACTATTTTCCATTTTCCCTTTGGTAATGTGGTTTTAGTGCTTTTATAATAAAAAATGTGCTTATTAGACTTGCTGAATTGCTAAGCCTCTTGGGTGGTAAGGAAATCTGAGGCAATCTCAGTACTAGTTTTCAAGACTTTTCAATTTTGGTATTCTTACTTGGACTAATTTTAAGAAACAGAGGATTACAGAAATGTGAATCCTCTGTACAAATCCTCTGTGCTGTTAAGCTGACTGGAGGCCAAGGACCAGAATTCGTAAAACGAAACGAAGCCCACAAACAAGAAAAGCAGCAGTAGAACAAAGCCAAACATGAAACTGCCGCATGTGTGCAGACGGACTCTCTGCTTCAGGCCGCGTGTGTGCAGAGGACTCTCTGCTTCAGGCCGCGTGTGTGCAGAGGACTCTCTGCTTCAGGCCGCGTGTGTGCAGAGGACTCTCTGCTTCAGGCCGTGAGTGTGCAGAGGACTCTCTGCTTCAGGCCGTGTGTGTGCAGAGGACTCTCTGCTTCAGGCCGTGTGTGTGCAGAGGACTCTCTGCTTCAGGCCGTGTGTGTGCAGAGGACTCTCTGCTTCGGGCCGCAAGTGCCCAAGGGGTGGATGCTCTTTTCTCTCAGCTCCATCCAGCAACCGCTCATCTAGATTCGTTCTTCTCAGAGCAGTGGCTCACTTCATCCCCGCAGGGTGCCTGGTGCAGACACTGCATGACACCCCCCCAGGCATGTAACATTGAGATGGGAGGTTATTCTGTCACTGTAGCTAATTCAGCTGAGTCAGCTGTGGCCACCTGGGAACAAAGCTGCTACTGGACCCTAAAACTTCCACCGCTCCCTAATCCTACCACTGTAAGCTTCTGAGTTTACATTAAATACCTAACTCAAGTGAACAAAAGGATTGTTCCTCCTCTGATAACAAAATGCTATAATTAAGTATTTCTTTGCAACGCAGTAGTTAAAACCAACAAATTCCTACCCCTAATGTATTAAGAGCTAGGTCTATAAAATTAGAAGCCCCCGTTCCATTTGTCAACACCTACTCGGTAACCCAGATTAATGCTAAATTGACCAGGGGTTCAACATAGAACCACAATGCTAGAAAGCAACCCTTCTCTAATTTTATGGATGTCTCCAGTGAGCCATAGCTTTCAAGAAAAATTCCTTGCACACAGATGTTTCTAAATACTTGAACAAAGGATCAGCAGTCGTGTCGCTAATTCGCCATTCACCGGGAAGGTGTAAAAGGGAAACCATTACACGCGCCAGGCCTCAGGACTCAGCAGACTTTATTTTGCAGGCAAGAACGCAGCAGACAAGGTAAGGGTGATCATTGAACTGAGCTCTCAGTGGCGAGGTGACTCTCGGCCGGAAGAGGGCTGAGGCAACCTCAGTCTCAGTAGGTCCAGGTTCACGTCTAAGAAGGTGTACGGGGTGTAGTCATGATGCTGGAGATTCTTGTAGGTGGTGTTGTCAAACGGCTCAGGAGGAGGGGCGGCTTGTACCGGCTCTGCCCCTGCGGGGGAAACAGGCAGTGAGCACAGGGGACAAGGAAAGAGCTTCTTTATAACCCTGTTATAAAATGTCTAATGAGAAAAGAAAAGCTCATGAATCAACAGTATATACAAACCAAAATCAAGAGATTAGCTGAAAATCTATTCTAAAACAAGAAATGGAATAGTTATAATGTGCCTTAATGTCTTTATGTACTTCTAGATCTAGATTTCTCTGAAATTTCGAAATGCCTAGAACAATTAAGGAGGGACTTTAAGGTCACATAAAGATGCAGGGGGAAAAATAAGATCTATTAGAAATAAGCAGAAATAAACATTTACAGAAGGAAATTTTCAAAGGCAAGGCAGAGACTAAGTCTCTTCTAAGTCTCTGAATACAAGAAAATTAGATAAACTCCAAGTATTTTAATAATAACACAAATAAGGGGAACTGGAAATGAGATGTGTAGTTTTTACCTTTTTTTGAAAATTGTTGATATACTTTAGATTCATAGACTAAAAATTACTAATTTAGTTTTGTTTCTGTAAGTGGAAAACAGTTCAAATCCATACACTTAGACATTTGATCATCTTAAATTAAGTGTGTGGTTGAAGCAAAAGAAAGACTGCTCTCCAGCTATGTGAGTGCAAGACAGAACGACGGCAGGATCAAGAACGCGTGGGACATCAGCTAAGGTCTGGGTGTGTTCTCACCGATCACAAACCGCCGTCAGCGGGGCTCTCTGAGCTGCACAAAATAACTTAAATACATTTTTTCACTATTTGAATTCATACCAAAAGCTTTGTTTTTCATTTTTTTAGTTGTAATCAACAAAAACGATGCCTTATTTAAAGAGCTGACATCTTTCCACTCTCCACAAGTCGAGTATCTTTCTTCAATGTGGTGTAGAGGCATCTTCAAAATGAAGGTAGACACGGGTATAGAAAACTGGTAAGAAAACCAATCCCCCTGGAAGGCACGAAGCCGGGTGGACTTAGCGACATGCAGTCCACTGCACAGACACAGCCCCTGCACTCCAGGGCGGCATCATTTGCCTCCAAAGGGCAAAGAGAATATTGGAAGATTCGCACATCCATAAAAAATTAGAAGTAAAGTTTTTTTTCAAAAAGATCTGCAATTTGAAAACCCCCAATTCTGTTTTCCTCCCGAAGGCTTTGGCGTTCCTCATTACAGCAGAATGACTGAAACAGGAGCGTCAGGCCGTGCAGTTCTTGAGGTCCTGAGCAGCTGGTAAGCACTGGCACTTTGCATATTAATGACAAACGGAGAAAGAGGAGGGAAGAAAACAGGTGAATTCTGTCAACATAACGCAACAGATAACAATGACCAGGTAAGGTAAATCAGGCAAACAAGTAGACTGTTTAAAAAATATAAAGAGTAGACAGGAAGGAACTGGGTTTGTTAGTAATGCATTTTAAAGACATCTTGAAGAGACACAGATCCTAAAATTGGAGACCTCCTTTACCGTTTTGCCATGACCGACCTAAAGCACACTATACTCTATGAAGTTCAATGTACAAGAAAATAGTAACATAATAGGAATAGACAGTTTCCCTTTAAAAACCCGTGGTAGCAAAAAAGCCCTTCATAAAATTCATTATAGAAAAATAAAGCAACCCACTGCGTGTCAGGTAACGCAGAAGAGGAAAAGCCCGTGAAAAGGCTCTGCAGGCCACGGCTGCCTTCGAGTGCTTACTACTCGAATTCCTAACATGCGGGCCCCTAGGCACAAGGATGCCAACAGCTATCGCCCTTCAGCTCAGCTGAAGACCATCAGACAAGTGTCACTACTGCCCTTCACATTCAACAGGACCCCCTTCCACTCAGTGAGCCGCTCTGCAAGTTCACGAGGTGGAGCTGGCACACCCTCCAAAGTTAAGGGCGAGGAGTTAAACTGCCAGTTTTCAAAATACTGGTTAAGGAACAGTCAAGAGTGCCGAGGGCCTACTCTTTCACTGTAAAATAAGTGTAAAATATTTTAGGGACTGTGTATATGTGTGTAATTCGTAATTCAGACAGACTCCTCTGCTTATCTGAGACGGTGTTACAGGCCATATTTCTACTAAGAATCTGATTAATTGTAGTACTTCTTTATATCCTACAGTTCTTCAGTCTAACCACCCCCGAAGGACAAGGGAGCTCTCAATGGTCAAGGTATACCCTGTGTGTCGTCCTGGTCTCCCACTTGGCTTGCTGAGTCTTCCATGATTTCGCCCTTTGCCTCAAGCTTTAGTACTGCTGTCTTTTCGTCAAAAACATCTTTATTATGAACAGAAGCTGGCTCCAAATTTTTTACTGGTACCTGATCTTCCAAAATCTCTTCATTAGCCTTTGAGATTCCTTCTATTATTTGCCTCCCCACATTTTCTTTTTTGAACGGGAAAAAAGCCACCTCCTCATCAGGCTCTGGGACTTGTTTGTCTACATGTCTTCCCCTGGTCTCAGGAGGAGATGCTTGCAGCTGTCTTCCTGTGGTGGTTTCTTCTGTCAATCGAGTGGCCACGGGGCCACCACTTGGCTGCATAGACAATCCTGATTTTGTGTGGTCAGGTGAGATTTTTTTAACTTCAAGTGGCTTTGGGCTTTCCATATGCATTTTATTCAAGCTAAAACTTTTCTGCAGTTTTTTTCCCTTTACATTTTGCTTCATAAACTCTTCATTTACTTGTGACTTAGGTACTGTGGGTCTTGGTTCATCTTTTCTGTCCTTCAGTGGCTTACTGGAGGTCTCTTTCGTCTTTGCCTGACGAGGTTTCTCTGGAGAGGTGAGGTCCAGCTGTGGCTGTGACGACCAGGTCTTCTCTTTGGCTGACAGCGAAACTTCGGGGGCTTTCTTTTCAAAGGAAGGGGAGGCCTCTGGTTTAAAAACCCTTCCTTTGCCTTTGCTCATCACTTGAGAATGAACTTCTGAGCCATCCTCCTCCTCATCAGACTCTGAATCGGAGGAGCTGGACGAGGACGAAGACGAAGACGAACTGTCCGTCTGTCTGCTCTTCTGAAGAGCTTCTGAATCCGAGCCCTGTTCTCTGAACGCGGATGGAACTTTCTGAGGGAACTCTACCAAAGTCTTCCTTGACAAAAACTTTGGAACCCCTTCATCTGTGAATAGCATGCTGTCATCAGGGTTAGGGCTAGCACCTGTCCCACCTTGATTCACAACTGATGAGTAAGAACTGGGTGAAGTTAAGTTTTTAGACAATTCAGCTGCTGTTGGGGTGGTTAATAGCTTGCCCCTCTCCTTTGGGTCCACTACATCTAGGAAATGGCATAAAGAGGAATATTATTTTTAATATTTAGTAAAACAATCAATCTAAATTCATCAAAGTCACAGGCATTTCATCATATGCCAACTTGTCGTTTATAATATCTTCAACATAATCATCCTAAGAAACATTTCAAGAGAACCCACTCTTAAATGAAAGCTAAGCCACATGAGAGAACAGTAAGAAACGTAGGTGCTTTTTTCTTTGTAACTGGAAAATTTTAAAATGGAGATTTTTATCAAGAGAAATAACAAACTTGTCTCAATTTCTCAAAAGACAGCTTCTTTGATAACTATTTTTAAACTATTTCATCCAAAGTTAAGACAGTTAAACTATAATACAAATATATTTTCAGATGACTATTCAAGTTTTACAAATGTACAATTTCTTAAAACCCTAAAAAACGGGTGCTTCTCAAACAATAAAGAAGTTATCCATATTGTATGAATTTGAACTTCTGAACAAAACAGCAAAGCAAAAGTAGAGACAAAAGCCTCGTTTGGGTTTGGGGTGTGCGCATCCATGCATGTAAGAGTGGGGGGCTCAGAGGGAGAAGATCATGTAGTTCAAACAAAGTTGCCCTAAGAGGAAAGAAAGTCCTTAAAATCATAAGCCATTTGGGGATTTCTTCAGCTAAGGAAAACAAAAGTATCATGAGAACACAAAAGTCTATAAAATAATTTAATATCATATATGTTATTGGAAGCACACAGGTAGAAAATTTAAAAATTAAGTTAATGCTAATATAAAAGTCTTACATTTTGTCATCAATTATGAAAAAAATGGAAGCACACAGTACATTGATTAGAGTTAATTTCAGTTTTCTCAGGTAGTAAATCTTTTCTAACCATATAGACTAGAAGAAAAATAGAGAACATTTAAAAATACATATATGTTTTATTGATTTTTTAGAGAGAGGGGAGGGGAGAGAGAGATAGAAACATCAGTTGGCTGCCTCCTGCATGCCCCCACTGGGGACTGAGCTGGCAACCCGGGCATGTGCCTGGGAATCAAACTGGGACCTTTCATTCCGTAGGATGACGGTCAACCTACTTAGCCACACCAGCCGGGAGGACATGTTTTCATAAATTAAAATTACTTTTCAAATCTAAAAAAAATTATTACAAATGAGCAAACTCTAAATCCAGAGTCTTTATGTTCAAGTCTAGGAGTCAATTTTATTCTAAAAAGATATCAATCCTATTTCCCAAAAGTGAAAAAAATATATATATATTCCTAGCTCTACTATATTACCAGAATCCAAAAAGGGTTTTAATTGTTTTCTGAGCTCAGGGACCTATATATAACAGAATGATAGAAAGTAATGAAAGAAAACAAACAATCAAAAGTCAGAAATGGGCCAGAGGTGAACCAACAGTGTAGAAGCATATGCCTGAACGAGAGCGTGGGTGACTGTTTAAAGCTGTCACCTCCACTTCCACCACCACCTCCTTCAGGCCAGTCTGAGTCTGTGGCTATGTGCCAGCCCAGCCTCTGCATTCTGATTGCCCAGAGCAGGTGCTGATGCAGGTGACTCTCAGAACTCTGAGCTCCAGGGTCATGTCAAACATAAACACGAGGCAACGAAGCACATACTACTCGAACTCCCCCTTTCTCCCTGTCGCAAGCCTAAACCATACCTGACACAGCTCAGAAATTCCTAACAGCAATGTACAAGATATGCTGGCCTCCAAACCTCCGCAGCCTGCTCACCTGTAGCATTTAATCCATTTCTACATTGAGCATAAATAGTCCAAGAATGAAAAATTAACTTATACAACTCAACATTAAAAAAAAAAATTAAGAAAATCCTGAACAATCCAGTTAAAAACTGAGCAGAGGACCTGAACAGACACACTACTCCAAAGAGGACATACAGATGGCCAACATATGAAAAGATGCTCAACAGCACTAATCAGCAGGGAAATGCAAATCAAAACCACAATGAGGTACCATCTCACATTGGTCAGAATTGCTATCATCAAGAGAACAAATGCCTGGCTGGGTGGCTCAGTTGGTTGGAGCATTGTCCTGTGTGCCAAAAGGTTGTGGGTTCAATTCCCGGTCAGGACACTTACCTAGGCTCGAAGTTCAATCCCCAGTCAGGGCATATACAGGAGGCAACCGATCAATGTTTCCTTCTTTCTCTCAAATCAATAAAAAAGCATATCCTTGGGTAAGGATTAAAAAAAAGAGAAAGAACAAGTAACAAGTGCTGGAGAGGATGTGGAGAAAAGGGAACCCTTGTGCACCGTTGGTGGGAATGCAGATTGGTGCAGCCACTGTGGAAAACAGTATAGTGGGTTCCTCAAAAGATTAAAGTAGAGCTGCCATAAAACCCAGCAATTCCACTTGAGTATTTAACCAAAGAAAATGAAAACATTAATTCAAAAAGATCTTCGCATCCCTATGTTCATTGCAGCATTATTTATTTATTTATTTATTATTATTTTTTATCCTCATCCGAGGACACTTTTCCATTTTTTGTTCAGATAGAGTGGGAGGGAGAGAGAGGAAAAGAGAGAGAGAGAAACATCGACGTGGAAGGTACACATCGAGTGGCTGCCACCCACACGACCAACCAGGGCTGGGGACAAACTGCAACTGAGGTACATGCCCTTAGCGGGAACCGAACCCGGGTCTCTCTGGACCACAGGCCAATGCTCTAACTGCTGAGCCAAACCGGCCAGGGCGCAGCATTATTTATAATAGCTAAGATATCGAAGCAACCTAGGTGTCTATCAATATATGAATAAAGATCTGATATATATATAATATTACTCAACAATTAAAAAAAAAAAGAAATCATGCCATTTACAACATGGGTGGACCTAAAAGATATTATGCTGAGTGAAATAAGTCAGAAAAAGACAAATACTGTATGATTTCACTTACATGTGGAATCTAAAACAAACAAACAAAACAAATTAACAAGTGAAACAAAACAGAAACAAATTCACAGAGAACAAAACTGATGATTGCCAGATGGGAGAGGGGTGGAGGGATGTGTGGAAAAGGGGAAGGAGATTTTTTTGTTGTTGTTCAGACAGAGCGGGAGGGACAGAGGGAGGGACAGAGAGAGAGAGAGAGAAAGAAACATCAACGTGAAAGGGACACACTGAGTGGCTGCCACCCACACGACCCAACCAGGGCCGGGGACAAACTGCAACCGAGATACATGCCCCTAGTGGGAACCAAACCCAGGTCTCTCCGGACTGTAGGCTGATGCTACAGTCAAACAGGCCAGGGCAGGATGGAGATTTTTAAAAAGGTAACTTAAAATAAAGCTTATCTTAGAAAGAATGCTTTGAGTAGAAAAATTATGGCTAAATCTTCCAAAATTTGTTATGGAGGTTTTTTAAAATTGTAAATAAGTCATTAAAACATTATGAGTTGATTCGTCACCTATTAAAAACAAAAAGAAAAATTCAAATGGGATTAACAATGATATAATTTAGAAATTTTGTTGGAAAACTTCCATCATACGAAGCAGGAGTGCTTTAAAGTTTCTTTTATACATGAAAGTTGTTGGGAGAATTCCACAGACTACACTACAGCATTCTGCTTTTCACCACGAGTCCACTCTGACCCGCTGCAGCGCAGCGTGTCCTCCTTGTAACTCCAGGAAGCTTGCCACTAGTGACTGCTGTACCCAAGTGCCAGTGCCCACACCAAGTCTGCATTCAGCAGCGCAGAATGATGTCCCTGGAAGACAGCGCTGTCACAGAGAAGAACAATGGCTTTCAGTTGGAATATAAGTACAACTTTACCTGTATGTTTTCATGAAATCTCTGATGTATGTCTAGAGGCAGGATGCTGGTATGTCTGACAATGTGTTAGTCTGGTAGTGACTTTCCTTGAAAGACAAATGTAATAAATAAAACACACCCAATGTTGGCAAAGGTTTGATCTGACAATGTGCCACTTCAGGGCGAAAAGCACTTGTCTCATGAATACCCATCACCGATGCTTTGGGGAAACACTGACGGCCGCATACATCGACTTAGAAGCATTACTTCTTTTTCTTTATACAGGGATTACTACTTTTTAAATTCTGAGACACAAATGTGTGCTCAAGACAGTGCAGTTCTGAAAACTGCACATGCACCCATCCTGCACACATCCCACATCTCATCACCATTCACCGTCTCACAGTGACCCAGTGAGGCCAGCACGCTTGCTCACCCGACTCAAGCACGAAGGGTTGAGGCTCAGGGGCCTGCAGGGCCTGCTATGTCCAGAGGCAGAAGCTACCAGCCCAAGGCCAACTCCCGGCTCAGGGTTCCCTTCTCATAACTGCACCCCAGACTGTCACAAAACGAAACACCTCATTTCCACTTAGAGAAGCATGTTTGTAAAAAAAAATTAAAAAGGCATCTTTGGCTCTGCCATGGTATTTAAAAACCCATTAATCCAATTTCATAAACCTTTGAAGCAGGATTGCAGATATAAGATAAAATTTTGGAGCTGTGAATGTGGGTCTCTTATGAAAAATGGGGTTTATTGGAATTGTCAAAAATAAGGCCTATCTCAGAAGATACCAAGTGAAATTCAGAGGATGACGAGAGGGTAAAACTGATTACTATGCCTGGAAATGTTTGATAGTCCAGGATAAAAATAAGTACAACACATCCAAATATAGGATGATAGCTGTGTAACCACAGATATTATTTGTCAGATTGCTTATGTCCGTATAGAAGGAGCTAGGATGGTCTGTGTAGCTTATGCTCACAAACCCCCCAACTACAGTGTGCAGGTTGGCCTGGCAGGTTAGGCTGCAGTATATTATACTAGCCAGCTGCTGGCCTGCAGGCAACTCAACAGGTCTGGCATAGACAAGATCTATGAAGACCAAGTGGAGGTGGCTGGAGGTGAACAGCATGTGGAAAGCATTGATGGTCATCTGGTGCCTTCACCTGCTATTTGGATGCAGGCCTTGCCAGATCAACTACTGGAAATAAAGTTTTTGGGGCCCTGATGGAAGCTATGGATGGAGGCTTATCTATCCCTCACAGTACCAAAGAATTCCCTGGTTATAATTCAGAAAGCAAGGAATTCAATGCGGAAGTACATCATGGATCAGAATGTTGCGATTATATGTGCTACCTAATGGAAGAAGATAAAGAAATAATTCTCTCAGTACATAAAGAACAACATAACTCCAGACATGAGGAGGAGATGTATGAGAAAGCTCATACTGCTATATGAGAGAACCCTGTTTATGAGAAGAAGCCTAAGAAAGAAGTTAAAAAGAGGAGACATTCCAAAATGTCCCTTGCCCAGAAGAAAGATCGGCCAGCTCAGAAGAAGGCAAGCTTCCACAGAGCTCAGGAACAGGCCTCTGAGAGTTAGTAAACCAATCCACAATTTTTTATGAAGATTTTTCAGATAAAGACAATAATAAACTTATTGACCAAGCAGAGGGGGGAAAAAAACCCGAAAAAGGAAAAGATAAAACTTCTCCAAGGCAAAGTGTGATATTAGTAATGAAACTCAACTACTCATTCATCAGCAAACAATGAAAGAATGTCAGAACGTGCCAAGCACATACAGGATTTAACTGACATTCTTAAAAACATATTTTAGCTACGATAAAAGTCCTTATGTTTAAGATACTTATTTAAAAATTTATAGATTAAAACAAAGAGCCCTGGCCAGTTTGGCTCAGCATGTGCCCTCCCCAGGAATCGGACCAGGACCTCTCAGTCCATAAGAGGGCACTCAATCCACCAGCCAGGCAAGAATTAAACACTTTAAAACTGAGAAAATGGTATTATCATGAAAATAAGACAAACTGAAATTATCATTCTAAACTCATAAGGATGAAAGATATGCCAAAAAACAAATAAACAAAATAGAAACAGACTCATAGACAGAGAACAGGCCAACAGCTGTCAAGAGGGAGGGGGGTTGCAGGGATGGGTGAAAAAGGTGAAGGAATTAAACAAACAAACAAAACATCCCCCCCTCATAGACAGACAACAGTATGGTGATTATGAGAGGGAAAGAGGGGTGGGGGGAGGTAGAAGAGGGTACAGGAGATACAAATGGTGATGGAAGGAGATTTGACTTGGGGTGGTGAACACACAATACAATATACAGATGATGGATTATAAAACTGTACATCTGAAACCTATATAAATTTATTAACCAATGTCACCCCAATAAATAAAAAACAAAAGATTTGCCAAGAGACTACAGATATTACACATATTTTTTAGGAGTTTACTAAGGTTTCATCAGTTAAGACTAAATGCAAAGAACATGGATTATAATCAATTAACAGTGAGTGGAGACTAGAACATACAATTCCCAGAAAAGTAGTATTTAAAATACACTGTTGCTTTTCTTCTTTTCCTTCAATGAAGATATGCTACATTGGTATTTAGGGGGGAAGTAAAGTAAAAACTGGTGCTAAGCCCTGGCCAGTTTGGCTCAGTGGTTAGAGCATTGTCCCGTGGACCTAAGAGTCGAGGGTTTGATTGCTGGTTAAGGGCAAGTACCTCAATTTCAGGTTCAATTCCCAACCCCAACTCATGTGGGAGGCAACCAATCGATGTCTCTCTTTCTCTCCCTCCCTCCCTCCTTCTTACTCTATCTGAAAATCAATGGAAAAACATTCTCAGGTGCGGATTAAAAACAAAACAAAACTGGTGCTAAAAGTCAAAATGACTATGGGAAGAGCTGGAAACAAAGTGGGTTATATACTGAAAAATAGTGCCTGCTCTTAAATTCTCTTCAGTCACAAAATGTTGATGCCAGCAGTCCTGGACTGTGGCTGGGAAACTATAGATGAGTCTGAAAACATTGAAAAAGTCACAATCAGGGAAAGCAAAGCAAAGTGGGGTTCATAGCTACCTCACGGGAGTACAGGGTCTGTATCAGCGCCATCTAAATACCCAGAGCCTTTATACTCTGCATCCCGTTGCTACACCTTAGTCTGGCATTTAGAAAATACAGACAGAACCAGTTCAGTGCTAAATGTTGAGTAAAAGACAGTCACATTACTGAAGTGTTTGGTCTAAAATCTGTTATAGATCTTATGTCTGATTATAATCTGGATGCTGCTGGAAATGAAGAATCACAAAGCTAGTAAAATTTGTGGGAAGCTGACAGATTTATTTGCATTCTTTTCCCCTATACACCATTACAATCTTACTTTTTGGTGAACTTTGCTTCTTGGAATTCGGTGGCAGTCCCTTGTCACTCTTTCCTGATTCTGCAGAGAGAGAAGCTGTAGAAGCAAGTCCTCGAAACACTTGTCCTTCTAGGAGCACAGTCTGACAAAAGAATGAACAAGTAAGGATAATTTTAGGAATCTAAAGAACAAAATTGAAACGACTCAGACACAGAGAGTGGACTTGTAATTGCCAGAGGGGAGGAGGGTTGCGAGACTGGCTGAAAGAGGTGAAGGGATTGAGAAGTACAAACTGATAGTTACAAAACAGTCACAGGGATATAAAGTACAGCATAGGGAATGTATTCAACAGTACTGCAATAACTATGTATAGTGCCAGGTGGGTACTGAAAATATCAGGGGGGACACTTTGTAAAGTACATGATTGTCTAACCACTATGTTGTATACCTGAAACCAATACAATATTGAAAGTAAACTGTAATTTTAAAAATTAAATTTTTTTATATTTTAGCATAATACCATTTACAACAGCTATTACTACATATAAAAACTATGTACTATTACTACATATAAATGTTTTGCTTTGCATTCACATAGCATATTTCTAATTATTATTATAAGTTTTATAATATATGTATGTTATGGACATTTTGGAAAATACAAAAAACCTGCAAAAAGAAAAAATACCTGAGTTCAAGAATAAGCACTGTTAACATTTGGGTACTTCTCCCACCAGACTTTCTCCTGTGCATACTTTTTTGTAGACTCCAACTATCTATTTACCTACAAAATATTATAATTCTCTTAGTAAAATGTTTTTTCTATATTTAGGAAGTAAATTAGAATATTTAAAACAGTAACTTAAAAATGTAGATTAATAACAATTGCTTCAAAATTGTTTACAATATGTCGTAAGTGGCAAGCATTCCATAAATGTTAATTCACTCAGCATCTATTTACTAAGGCCTGCTACGTGGTGGGCACTGTTGTAAACGCGCCACATAGAACAGAGGTGCCTACAGCGCACGGATGAAGGAGAAACTATTTTTTGTTTATAACTGTACGAACGTGCGTCTATGTACATAAAGCAGAAAAACTCGTTTGCAACTAGATATTTCGAGGAGTAAATAGCAGTTTCTGACAACAGATTTCCCATCTGCACTTTAAGTTATTTTGCAATGAATACTTATCGCGTCTGTAATAAGAGTCTTTTAAACACTGAAATACGGTGAAGCGGCTTTGGCGCTGACTCCGGAGAAAGCAAGCCCTCCTTTCCTCCTTCCCTTTCACAGACGCAGCAATGTAAGCTGGCTTCTAACAGGTGCGAAGTGAGTTACCCAGGAATCCCCTCATTTCCTCTCCTGGCTCAGTAAGAGGTAACGCCTTAGCCCTGAACGCTTTGCACAGAGCACGGCGGCGCACGCCACCTGGGAGCCCCGCACACCGGAGCTCCCCAGGGATTCGGGTCCGGCGGGAGCCCGGTCTGCGTCCAGGATCCATTCGCCGGCCCCCGCCCCCGGTGGCCTGCCCGGGCCAGGCGCCCTTTCCTCCGCCAGGGAGCGGAGTCAGCGTCTCCCCGTGACGGCCGGAGGTAGCCTTTAAAGCTGAGCCCCATGTCCCGGCCCTCCGTGGGCTCCCAGCCACCGGCCCGGCCCCCCTTTACCTTCAGCGTTCCGGCGCGTCCTTGCCGGAGCAGAAGGAAGGCCGCCATCGCGGTGACTCGAAAGCGGGTTGGGCGAGGGGCGGGCCCAGGAGAGGTCGCAGTCGGAGTGACGCAACCTAGGGCACCAATCACAGTTAGAGATGGGAGGGGAAGCACCCGCTGCGCGCGCACCACTTTCTGAGTACCCGCCCCCTGGGCAGAGAACACCAATCACGAGAGGGGGCGGGGCGGAGGCGTGGTCCTGCGCACCGCACCCCAGCAGCTCCGGGCCCTCCGCGGGACACCTTGAGGTGTTCCCCAGGGGCGTGGCCAGTCACAGGCTGGTGTGTCTCGCCGATCCCCGTGCAGCGACGGTCTGGGCGCAGGGACACCATGGCAGTTATAGCGAGGAATACCTCCTGTCATTGTGTGCAGACGGCGGGCCCGAAGTCTCCCCGTGTCCTCCCCCGTGCACAGACTTCAGACCGGGCCCGGGGCGTTTTTGGCCTTGGCTGACGGTCCTCTAATGTTTGGTGGGCTTGAGGCCCCTCTGCACGTTAAGTCTGACCCGCACCACGTGCTCAGACTCCCTCCGCGGCCTCTCTGCAGCCTCAGGTCAAACCCCATCCTCCCGCCAGCGTAGTCTTCTGCGGTCTTCGCAGTCACGGCTCCTTGTGCAGGGCGACCTCAGGCGGGACCGTGAGCGCGCTTTTGGCCTGTGACAACACTGATACTGGAGCCGGACAGACCAGAAATGCAAGTGTATTTTACCAGAATGTTTATAGCTTGCAGTGCGAATTTCCCCCCAAAGTTATACATAATCGTGGAGTAGATATAGTTAGTAATCGGCTTCCTTCCCTACTGATCATATCTCCCGACCCCCATCCCTTCCATGCCCAGTGCCCTTAACTAAGTATTACATCCAAGTTGAATGTGCCCACACGTCCAACTTCACTGGACTAAGGGCTGGAGATTCACTCAGGTGGCTGGAAACAGGTCCCCCAGACTCATCAAAGAGAATAAAAAGAATGCAATAGGACCTGCCACCATCCACCCTGGAAGGCAAAGACAACAACCTTAGGTCTTAGGGCGTTTGCTGCACTGCTCTATTCAAGAACCAGACATGGTTGTACCAAGGTAGTTTTATTTACTTGCAGGAAGTGAAGGAGACGAGATTCATATCCAAAACTCCCTCTCCCAGAAGGGAGGCTTAGCCATTAGTTTATATACTCTATTTGGTTAATTATACATCGATTTCTTCTTTGCTGTTAGCCACATTTATCCTGTTGGGTCAAGCTCATCCTCTTTACAGCTGGTCTGCAAAATACAGTGCTACATTTTAACATTTAGCAAGAATAGCATTTAGTAATAACACAGAACTATCCAGACTTTGAGACCCTTGTCCTACTAACATCCCTATAGGGAGAAGGGAAAAAACAACATGCTAACAGGAGAATTATTCTTTGCTCAAACCAAATTAGCTCTGTCGACCCAGGGGAAAGTTCATGCTTGTCTTTGTGAAGTGTGCTTGCTTTACAAGTGATTAAGAAAATTGAAGGTGATAAGCCACAGCTGCCACTTGGGGAACCTGATCTGGATTTGGGTAGTCTACCTTACTCTCCTTCACGGGATCTGGAGCCCCCAGATCTCCTCCACCAACAGCAGGGCACAATCAGCTAAAGGCAGACATTTGGCTGGAGTCTTAAGACTGAAGAACAAACAAAATGAAAAGTTCTCCCCCAGTGAGATGAGGTGTGTGTGGTCACCAGCCAGAGAGGTTTAAGGAGAGGGCAGATATGGTTGAGGGGAGCCCAGGGGAAGAAGAGACCCAGTGAGTAGGGGGATGTCATCTTAATGGTTTTCAAAGAAGCAACACGATTACGCTTGTGAAGGTAACTATGGTAACATGTAAGACCAATGCCTAAGCCTGGGGGGCACAGGATCTACTAGGAAGCTTTACTGCAGTCAGGTGGGGAGGTTATTGCCAGTCTGCACTGCATTTGGCCAAAGGGAGTAGAAAATACAGGGCCAAGTGCAAGAAGCAGATATAAGGTGCTGCAGAAAAATCAAAGCCAGAAGCCAGAGAAAGAGGTGGCAATTTCATGAGTGTTTGTGGACAGGGGATTATATCATACTTTCCAGTTAGCTGAAAAACTAGCCTAGATTTTGCTGGCAGCAGGGTTTGGTCTTTCCTGTTAATTCTCTGTCCAAAGTCTTTCTGCAGGTATCTGTCACCTCTGCCTGGAGCTCTGCCAAGTACCAAGCCAGCATTTTTAGACAAAACCTTGAGAAAAGTTGGCACAAGTGGAGTCATTTTAAAACAGAGTCGGACAGCCACTCCAGAGGTCCTGCCTGCCCGTCTTATTCCGTGAACCTTTGAACTGGGCAAAATAACCTTTGGACTGGGCCAGAGCAACATTGTCTTCCAAACAGTTCTAAAGCTAACAGGAAAGCATACTCCTGACTATAGGACTGAAAACGAAAGACATTCTTTAGACTTAGTAAACAACCATGTGTAGCTAAAGAATAACTTAGCTTATTAGCACCAATACACATTCCTACCTTCTGTTCATGTAACTAGTTCCCTGCCTTTTCTCATAAAAACCCCGTGTCTTCAGTCCAATTACTGGAACAGTATTTAGGTTTCTGCTGAATTGGTGCTTCTCAAATAGCTATCCTTTGATATCAAATAAATGCTTGTTGCCTCTCACTTTGGCTTTTTATTTTGAGGTTAACAACCTCAAAAACTTATATTTGTTTATATTCTTTGATTTATTTTTAAAGTTTTTTTTTTTATCCTCACCCGAGGATATTTTTCCATTTTTTGTACAGATAGAGTGGGAGGGAGAGAGAGGAAGGGAGAGAGAGTGAGAAACATCGACGTGAAGGGACACATCGAGTGGCTGCCACCCGCACGACCAACCAGGGCCGGGGACAAACTGCAACCGAAGTACGTGCCCTTAGCGGGAACCGAACCCGGGTCTCTCCGGACCACAGGCCGACGTTCTAACCGCTGAGCCAAACTGGCCAGGGCTATTTTTAAAGATTTTTAAGTTGGTTTTTAGAGAGAGAGGGAAGATGGGAGAGAGAGAGAGAGAAAGAGAAACATTAATATGAGAGTAAATCATCTATATGCTGCCTCCTGCGCACCCCCTAACCGGGGATGGAGCCTGCAACCCTTCGGTGCACGGGATGACATCCAACCAACTGAGCCACGCTGGCCAGGGCTGTATTCTTTTATTAATTATCTACAGTTTTATATAAACTACTAGAAATCCTCCCATATGTCTTATAAGGATGAAGTAAACTTTTAAAAAGATAACTAACTAGATAACGGGAGCATCACTTGGACCACAACTGTGAACTCAAAGGTGTTTGGGTCAAAGAAGAAAATAAAATACTCAGATATCACACCATCTGTATGCACACCCTTGCTCTGCATTCTTGTCTAAAATGTATATTCTTTTTAAGCCCCAAAGGAAATGTATTACGCCACTATCCTATGTAAATTAATACAATTGAATTATGTGTTTTAAATTAAGATTTTTTTTTTTACAAAGCTTTCAATTACACTGGTTTTAAAATATTGTTTAGGATGATCCTATATGGTATGCTTTGCTAAGTTAATAAGATAATTTTCTTTCTTTATTTTAAATTTTATTTATTGACTTTATAGAGAGAGGAAGGGAGAGAGAGAGAAACATCTATTTGTTATTCCACTTATCTATGCATTCATTGGTTGCTTCTTGTATGTGCCTGACCAGAGATCAAATCTACAACCTTGGTATATCAGGATGATGCTCTAACCAACTGAGATACCTGGGTAGGGCTGATAATTTTCTTGTTAGTGAAAGAATAAAAACAGTTCAGCATACAGGAAAAGTAGATGTAAAAGCTTTTTTTTGTCAAGAAAAAATAAGGCCCTAGCCAGTTTGGCTCAGTGGTTGGAGCGTCGGCCTGTGGACCAGAGAGTCCTGGGTTCGGTTTCTGCTCGGGGCATGTACCAAAAAAAGAAGAAAAATGAGCATGGCCGATGTCGCTCAGTGGTTGAACATCGACCCATGCACCAAGCGGTTCAGTTCCCAGTCGGGGCACATGACCAGGTTGTGCGCCCAGTCCCCAGTGGGAGACATGAAGGAGGTGGCCAATTGATGTTCTCTCTCATCAATGTTTCTATCTTTCTCTCCCTCTCCCTTCCTCTCTCTCTCAAAACCAATGAAGAAAAAATAAATTCATTATTTAAAAAATAAGGAGAATTAAGGTGAAATTGGGGGTACCTCAAATTGTGTTTTAAAACCCATGTAATGACTTCTCCTTCTGGCAGCATTTGGCCACTAGGTATTGTGAAAAACCCTTGGGCTACAGAACATTTAGCAATTCTGGGCAAAATATTACAAGCATAACTGAAAGGACCAGTTCTGCCCACGTGTCCGCTTCTCTCGCCTGCCGGCGCTCACTCGTGATCGCTGTGCCGTGATGGACTGAAGCTCAGGTCTTTCTGGGCTTCCAGCGGTGGGGATCCCCAGGCCTGGGCTGAGCGCGCATGCCTCCCAAGTGGATTACTGTTCGTGTTCACCAGGCTTCTCTGAATGCTGCCCATCTTGGTCTAATGTGAGCATTTTCTCATAGTTTGGAATGTCCGGGACCACAGGAAGCGTGTGTCCACAGGGATCAAAAGAACCACAAGAAGCCCCATTGCCCAGGGAGCATTTGCTGATCTCAGGAAGCCAGTGCCTTGATTTAACTGATATCAGGAGAAGAGAAGGCAAGACTTTGGGCCTGTGAACCTTTGGGAGTGGGCTGGAAAGCAGAGAAAGCCCTTGCGGAGCTGCCCCTCCCTGACAAGGTGAACCTGGGCAAAGCCATCTGCTGGCAAAAACAGGCCACAGGAAATGTGTCTGTCTCCACCTGGGCTCTGGGTGGGCGAAAAGAAGTCCCCAGCTCCTCCCCCCCACTTCACGTGGTCCAGGACATTCCAAGTTATTTAACGATATTAAAATAACATTTCTGTTTAGCAAGGCACTATAAAAAGTTAAGAAAGACAAACTAGGAAATCAGTTAATTTGTAAAGAAGTAATATCCAGAGTACATAAAGAG